TCTTTGTCAGTGACCTACAATTATGACCCTAAATGCATATGTGAAGTTTTAAATAAATATCTTTAATAGTTATTGAGATATGTAAAACTTGCATGTAAACATTAACCAAGAGACTAAGTAGAAAAGGGGATATGAATCAGCCTTAATGCAAGATAGAGTTATGGAACTTGGTCAGTGACATACAATTATGACCCTCCAATTATGACCCTAAGTGCATGTGTAAAGTTTCAAGTAAATATCTTTGGAGACCTTTAACCAAAATTTCTAAGTTTCAAAGGGGCAAATAATTCTGCAAATATTGCAGGCAGAGTTATGCAATTTTGCAAACTGATGTACATTTGTATCTTGTTACTATAAATAAGTATTGTAAGTTTAAATTGAATATCTCAAGCAATAATTGAGATATTTGACTTTACAAAAAACTTTACCAAAATTTCTAAGTCAAAAAGGGGCATAATTATGTCAATATTGTAGGCAGAGTTATCCAACTTGTCAATCTGATGTACCTTGTTACTATAAATAAGTATTGTAAGTTTCAATTGAATATCTCAAGCAATAATTGAGATATTTGACTTAACAAAAAACTTTAACCAAAATTTCTAAGTAAAAAAGGGGCATAATTCTGTCAATATTGTAGGCAGAGTTATCCAACTTGTCAATCTGATGTACCTTGTTACTATAAATAAGTATTTGTAAGTTTCAATTGAATATCTCAATTAATAATTGAGATATTTGACTTTACAAAAAACTTTAACCAACGCAGACGCCGACGCGGACGCTGACGCCGGGGCGACTACAATAGCTCTCATATTCTTCGAATAGTCGAGCTAACAAAAACATGGTGAAAATTATAACTACATGTAAATGGATTTTCTTCTTTTTAATTTAAAGATTCTTAGAACATGAATAAATTTATTTTAAGAAACAGAACACAGCACATACTGGGCTTCATGGCTGATGAGTGAACCAATAAACATTTAATAAACCGAAGTTAAAGGCTGACTGTGACGTGTCTATAAAGCCATGAGGTCTGAAGTGGCACTATAATTCTGTCCATGTTAGAGTTATAGGCCTTGGACATTGACCGCCTATCTTGCTCTATAATTAGTGTGTCAAGTTTCCACCTTTTGAGATGTACCTTGCATGCAAAAACTTACCTACGTGTGTACGCCCAGGTGAGTACACAGCTTATCTTCAGTCAAATTTTTAAACGTTGATGTGTCAAAGGTTTTACATGGTCCGTAAAAATAATTCAAGAACATTTTACCATAAACAAGATCTTCAAACAATCTGACACCTTTGATCTTGAGATATGTTACACACCTTTTCTAGCTACAATAATAGTTGCTGATCAACTTGTTTGACAGGTGTTATTTACACAGCTGTGTGTTTTAACAGCCTTTGTATGCGTTCCTACATGTATGTGAGAGAATATGCTTCAATTACAATGATTCTAACTGCCGTAGTATTTGAAGATGAACTTTACAAATAAGTTTGGTTTTGAATCCTCAGAAACCCAGTGTTACATGATAATCAAACAGGATATTCTTACTATAAGCTGGTTTTATTTTTTAAAAGGCTTTTTGTAAATTCCATAAACCATGATGGTTCGAAAAAAATTTGTACATGAGTCAAAATCCCAATATCTCGTTGTTTTTACACAAGTCCTTCCAACTTTAACTTAACCAAATTCTACTGCATTTATTAATATTCCAAGATGTCTTACATTAAAAAAGCTCTAGGATAGAATAGAGTGCAAATGCTGCCACTGCAAGAACATATTAGTATGAAAGACAAAAACAGAGTGCTCATTGATGACAGATCAAAAATAAAGTAGTAGAAGAATCTGATTTGACATAGTTTATTTTTAAATAAATCCAGAGTTAACAGACTTAATTATCAGCTTTTGATGTTGATACAATAAATATATGATGTTATGTGATAGGGGATACATATAGACAGGACTATATATAATAGCAAACAAGGAGAACTTCAAACATGCAACTACCAGCTAATCTAAATTGGTCCAGTCTAACAAGTGTAACAAAATGAACACATTATATAACAAAATATGCTTGCCATCATATTTATGAGCCATAAATGAAATCAAATGAAAAATGTACATTGTATAAAATGACTACATTATTTTGACATATACTTATGTTGTTATTTTCAACCTAAAATTACTAACTATACCTACAAGCATGAATTGTTTTAACAGTATGTATATAATATATCAAACAGATGCTTTTTCTTGGTTTTTTTCCACACTTTGGTTTTGAATAACTAAAACATTAACAATCATTACGAGTCAGAAAAACAGACTCTAATATCATATATTTTAAATGGCAACTGTTTCATAAGAAATGTTTATGTCTTAAGTGTTCTCAGTTAAAATGTAGCTGACATGATACTGAGATTGTTATAAATGACATCACAAGTTCTCTATTGTATTATATGGTATAATAATCTACATATAAAACACTCTAGGAAAACACTGAAGAGAAAATAAAGCAGTATTCTTTGTTAGTCTTATGGAACTGCAAAATAATCTATCAATGCCTTCTAACATGTTTTACATAATTTGAATAGTTACATGAACAAATGAAATGACACCTAACATAATAGATAACACAATAGCAAAGCCAGTTAATAACATAATCACAATCTTTGTAAATAGTGGGAAGACTTCTAAGCTAAAATTCACTGAAAACAAACACTACATAAGTATAGATACAAACCAAACTTTTAATAGAAAGTAGATTCAATAATCCTTGTCAAAAATGCACTAGAAGCAATGTAACATAATCTGGCAACTATAAGCTCATTTCAAGCTCATTAGACATAGTGATGTAAAACTATTTAACTATTGTTGCAGCGCAGGACTGTTCCAACAATATATTGATCCTTACCTCTACCATAATAATATTATATTAAAATGCTCTTTGACACAAGTCAATAAAAATAATTCAAAATAACAAAAGACGAGTTCTTAACACACAACTATTTGAATTCCAAAATCATAATAAGCTAGAACTGCCACTGTCATGGCGTGAATATCCCCGCATACCACTTTGTCAGAATCAACAGTGGCCATTTAGAACTCAAGGACAACCTCCTTGCCAAATCTGAGGTTACTAAGCCAGTGCATTGCTAAGTTGTGTATTCTACATGCTTCAAATGAGAAAATGTCAAAATCAATACACTGCTGACAGGCATTCTTAAGCATTTGAGCAGACAAGCTTATTATAGTATAAATTCCTGTGGCCTTGACCTTTGACACACTCACCTAAAAATCAATAGGGGTCATCTACTAGTCATAAACAACCTCAATACCAAATATGAAGACTGTTGACCAAAGCATTCTTCAGCAATTGAGCCGACAAGCTTTTTAGTCAAGGCCCCTGCGACCTTGACCTTTGACCCAGTGACCTCAAAATCAATAGGGGTCACCTAATGGTCATGATGAACCTCCATGCCAAATATGAAGACTGTGGGTCAAAGGTTTCTTAAGCTATTGGGCAGACAATTTTTTGGAAGTCAAGGTTCCTGTGACCCAGTGACCTCAAAATACAAAGGGGTCATCTACTAATCATGACTAACCTCCATGCCAAATATGAAGACTGTGTGTCAAAGCTTTCTTAAGTTATTAGGCGGAGAAGCTTTTTTTGTGCAGGGGTATAAAATCAAACAAACAAAAACACCCAAAGGTTTTGTTTTTTAAATTTCTAACTATTGAAGGTTAAAGTCATCTTTCAAAATGTTACAATGAAGATTATATCTAGCTAAACAAGACCTAGATTAATTTATCTGTAGAAACAAGATAATATTGAATAAAATAGGCATTACAAACAAATTCTGCTCATTTTAACAAAGTTTATATAATAGTACAAGTATCAATACTACAAATCCAAGACCATAAATATTTTACAATTTTTTAAACAATTAAAATGGAATGCATTTTTTGAATGAAATAAATGTTTTCATGGAGTGAATAGAATAACAAAAATAAAAAACAAGTGGCCCAAGATGGCCCTAGATAGCTCCCCTGACCCATCGACCACATCCAAGCAATGTCTATGACAAGCATCCTGACCAAGTTTGATGACAATTGAGTCAAAAATATGACCTCTTGAGTGTTAACAAGGTTTATTCATATCTGGGCAGAGTGACCTAGATTGTGACCCCAGGTGACCCATATTCGAATTTGACCTAGAAATCATTAAAACAAACTTGTAGACCAATTTCCAGAATATTTGGATAACAACAGTAGCCACAAGAGAGTTCACAAATTTTTTTCTATTTTCAGCTGTGACCTAGTTTTACATCAGAGATGACCCATGTTCGAACTCCCCAAAGCAATTAACTAGATAAGCATCCAGACCAAGTTTGATGGCAATTGAGTCAAAAATGTTACCATTAGAGTATTAACAAGGTTTTTCCATATGGGCAGTGTGACCTAGTTTTTGACCCAAGGTGACCCATTTTCAAACTTGACCTAGAAATCATCGAAACAAACTTTCAGACCAATTTCCAGGATATTTGGATCAAAACAGTAGCCACTAGAGTGTTAAAAAGATTTTTCTATTTTTGGCTTCTGTGACCTAGTTTTTGATCGGAGTTGACCCATATTCAAACTTGATCTAGAAATCACTGTAACAACTTTGGTGACAATTTTCCAGAATATATGGATATTTTAGACTGGAGATGACAAATATTCGAACTTGACCTAGAAATCATCAAAACAACCTTCCTGATCAATGTCCAGGATATTTGGATCAAAACTGCAGCCACAAGAGTGTTAACAAGATTTTCCTATTTTAAGCTCCTATGACCTAGTTTTTTTACCCTTATTCAAACTTGACCTAGAAATCATCAAAACAATTTTCCGAACCAATTTCCAAAATATTTGGATCAAAAATGCATCCACTAGAGTGTTAAAAAGATTTTTCTATTTTTGGCTCCTGTGACCTAGTTTTTGATCGGTGTTAACAAGATTATTTTAGCTCTTGTTACCTAGTTTTTGACCGGAGACAACCCATATTCGAACTTGACCTAGAAATCATCAAAACAACTGAACATTTGGATCAAAACTGCAGCTACTAGAGTGTTAAAAAGATTTTTTCTATTTTTAGCTCCTGTGACCTAGTTTTTCATCTAAGATGACCCATACTCTGTCTTGAGCTAGAAATCATTAAAACAACCTTTCTGATCAATTTCCAGGACATTTGGATCAAAACTGCAGCTACTAGCGTGTTAACAAGCTTTTTCTAATTTTAGCTCCTGTGACCTAGTTTTTGACCGGAGATGACCCATATTGGAACTTGACCTGTATTTTGTTGAGACAAACATTCTGATAAAGTTTGATTATGGTCCAATCAAACTTTGACTGCTAGAGTGTTAACAACCCAATTGTTGAAGACGCACAACAACAGCCGATGGACATAGCCCCATCACTATACCTCACCTTGACCACTTTGTGGTCAGGTGAGCTAAAAACTGTAGCACCTTGTATTAGATGAAATAATTGTCAAATACCAAAATTTCTGTCAGACTAAGTTTATGCTTGTCTGATATAAAATATTCAATAACTCTAATTCTATAATTTAAACAATATATGTACATGTGTTTCATGTTAACTTTTTTATTTAGTTACACTGTCTCACAGGCATAACAGCATGTTGCAAAGTTATAACATTTATCATTCCTGTCTTTTTATTAAACATGTTAAATTGAATTTGAACCCTCATAATTTATTTGTCAACTTGAACCTTGTCCTGCTGAAATTTTGGAGTAAGACAGCAAGTAAAATAAGCTTGCATTCCTCTATACTAGTGATTTATACATGTAGTGATACCCTCTATTGTTTACATGCTAAATAGTTTATGCATTGTTTTCAGATATGGGTCACTTTTAAATTAAATGTCAAATTATTGCTAATTGCAAAACAAGAGCCACCGCCGACTTTTTACTTTCTCTAAAAGCAAACAAAGAAATGTTTGAACAAAATCTTAACGTTTCCTTTTTATAAAATTAATCGGTCTGTCTTGTCACATAAGTTTTGTCTATATAAATATACTAAATTATATATATAAATAGAAACACGCAATTCTATAAATAGAAAATTCTATAAATAGAAACATGCAATTCTATAAATAGAAACACGCAATTCCATAAATAGAAAATTCTATAAATAGATACACGTGGTAGAAACATGTGGTAAAGTCACGTCGTGGTGTCACGTGGTAGAGTCACGTGGCAAAGTTACGTGGTGGTGTCACGTGGTGGAGTCATGTGGTAAAGTCACGTGGTGGTGTCACGTGGTGAAGTCACGTGGTGGAATCACGTGGTGCAGTCATGTGTTGCAGTCAGAGTCACGTGGTGGTGTCATGTGGTGGAGTCACGTGGTAAAGTCAGGTGGTGGTCAGGTGGTGAAGTCAGTGGTGAAGTCACAACAAGGTCTTGTTCTTAAGTATGTTCTGTTATAATATGAAGTTGATCCCTTCAATAATAGCAAAGTTACAGCCAGTTACAGCCAAAACAATGAAAATTTCAATAATTTGAACTTCGAAGTCAAGGTCATTAATAAGTGAAGGTCAAGGTCTGTCTGGTTATTTTTAAGGGTTATCCTTGAAGATTATTATGTTCAAGTATTCAAAAATAACAGTTACAGCCAATAATAGCCAAAAAAATGAAAATTTCAATAATTTGACCTTCAAAGTCAAGGTCATTTATGAGTGAAGGTCAAGGTCTGTCTGGTTATTTTTAGGGATATCCTTGAAGATTATTATGTTCAAGTTTGAAGACAATCCATTCAAAAATAACAAAGTTACAGCCAATAACAGCATGAACAAGCAAAATTTGGACTTTTAACCTTGAAGGTCAAGGTCATTTATGGATGAAAGTCAAGGTTAGTGTGGTCTACTGAAAGGTCTTGTCCCAAGGGTTGTTGTGGCCAAGTATGAAGACAATACACCCAGAAATAAAAAAGTTATGATCCAGGTACAAGTTTGCGGACGGCAACGCCGAAAGACTATAACAATACCTCTACTTTTTTTTTTCAAAAAAAAAAAGTTGAGCTAAAAATAATAAAATGACTCAAACATGTACAATTTATATATATTCCCTTAATAGGCATAATTGTAAGAACACATTATGATTAAGATATGTTAATATTATTTACAATATGGAAGCCAGCTTTACCACTTTTCACAATTACAATAAGTCCAGTAAGAATGTTTTCCTTCATTTTAGGTTTACTTTTTCCCTTCCATGTCATTATGACCATTTTATTGCTCATCCCAGAGAAGACATTTAATTGTACCATCTATGATGATGTTCAGGCCAGTGCAAACATGACTCTCATGACAATTTTTAAGCCACTGTGACCATAACTTGGCAAATGTAACCTCAAATGCCAGTTAAAGAAAAAAGGATAATTATGTAAGAATTCTACACACCTAAAAGGTTGACCTGTATGAGTACAAGTAGAACTCTAACATTACACTGTTTTGTCAGTCTACAGATGGACAACATGACAGAACAGGCAATGGGAAATGTATATATGCCCCAAACCCTTCTTCCATTAAGCAGGGCATAAAATGTTTTTTTATTAATTAAAGCCTTGGTGACATGATAAAGATATAGGCCAAGTGCTTTAATGGTGTAAAAAAAGAACAAACTATTTTAACCCTAAAGGCCAATTCAGGCCTCTGATTTTTATATGTGCCAAAGAACAATGATTTGAACAAATACCGTACATACACAATTGTAAGGCGCCCCCGTCTTATAAGACGCACCCCTTACTTCTGGCTCATGATTTGGGGGTTTTTATGAAGACCCTCATATAAGACGCATTCGTATTTTGGCTGAGCAAAATCGGCCGAAAATTTGCGCTATTATATATTCACAGACTTAAATATGTCCCTCCTTAATCAAAAACCAATGAAATTTAAGTGTAAATAATAATCCTATAATTTATTCACAGATTATTGACCCATCTAGATTAAGGAAAGGTGCGAAAAAAAATTGGCCGCTGCTTTTAATCATCAAAGTCTAGTTTTATGACAACTAACAACGTGTAGTGTATTGCCAATTAGCAGTGTCTATCGAAAATGCCCCTCTTGTCAGCAGGTGTCCATGCAATTTACCGCTAGATTGCTTATCAATGTGTGAACGAGTGGCAAAATATTTTTGATTGAGAGTAATTTGCTTAAAGCATACAAATGTTTTGTAAAAACAACAATAACAAGCAATTATCATAGTATTGCAAGCAATCCATAAGTCCCCTACCGGTAAGAACCCCAGCAACATTCTGATGGGCCATTGGCACTTCAATTTTACCAGTGAATGAATGACATGAATGAATTTAATTTTTTTTATTTATTTATATCTTTTGAGTTCTAAGTTTGTCTATATCACAGTAATGTGTTAAGTTTCCCTGCCTAGTAAGGAAATTATGTTTATACAACCTTGTCATATTATTACAATGTGGGATTTTAAAGTAATCCTATAAGGAATGAAGAAGGTGGATTGAAAAATACCAATTTCTCGAAAAAAATCTAAGTTCAAAGGGGACATAATTCTGGAAATAGTCTTGCTAGAGTATTTAACCTTCTCAAAAATGTTAAGTGATAATAAGAAACATATATATGAAGTTTAAAGTAGATACATTAGGAAATAAAAAAGTTATTTAAAAAAGACAACTTTTTTTTCATAAAAATTCTAAGTTCAAGGGAGGTAATACTGATAATTTTTGTGCTAGAGTTGTAAACCTTTTCACATATGATGTGGTTGATGACCAGAAACTTATATTTAAAGTTTGAAGTAAACACCTTAAGAAATAAAGAACTTATAGTGAAAAGGCTGAAAAATTTAAATCAGAAATCTTGAATTTCAGGCTATTTGTTGCCATAGCAACCAGAATTTTCAACATAGGAAGAAAAGAAAAAGATGTGCATAATCTCCAGACTGCCATCTACCCATATTTTAAGTTTCATAAAAATATTTTCAATACTTTTTAAGTTATCACTGGATCCAGTTTATGTGTTAAATTTGCCATATTTTCAGACTATTTGTTGCCATAGCAACCAGAATTTTCAACATAGGTAGAAAAAAAAAGACATGCATAATCTCCATACTGCCATCTATCCATATATTAAGTTTCATAAAAATATTTTCAGTACTTTTTGCGTTATCGCGGGATCCAGTTTTGTGGACGGACGGACTGACAGACAGATGGACAGACAGACGGACGGAGGGTAAACCTAAAGTCCCCTCCGGTTAAACCGGTAGGGGACTAAAAAGATATTCATACTTATCTATTAGTTTAGAAATGATACAGAAACTGAAGTATAAATCGCAAAGCAAATTTTTTACATTTTTAACAGATAATGTATTATTTTAACAGATAAATGCACTTTTTTAAAAATAAATCTTATTTTCGTAGACGCAATCTTATTTTCGCAAAAATAGCTTATTTTCGGTATCCATCTATACTGGTTCTACACGACAAAAATTTTAAGTTGCATTTTTTTTGTAACAGAGTCTGTGACCCTTGCATACTTTCTATGATACTTTATTTTTTTATAATGGAATTTTTTGTTACTAAGATTTTTCTAATTATATTTATGAATCTTTCATACTTAATCATTGTCCATTAAATATTTTTTATGAAAACTAAAGTGTCAAGTTATCATTGTATATCTGTAATTACTCTTCTAAAAAAATCAATATCAGCTGTGGTTTACCTGAACATTAGGATATTTACCACACAGCATAATGCAGTATGTCGCTCTCATACCCACTTTATAAACCGAAAATTCCTCCGAGGGGGATTTTGTCCTAGGTAGCAATTTTATGAAGGGGATTTTGTCCACTTCAAAATTTCACAAATGAAGGGGATTATGTCCACCCATGGAGGGGATTATGTCCACATATACAAAAATACATGAAGGGGATTTTGTCCGAAGGGGATTATGTCCGTACACCACCAGCTGGTGTTACGAGGTTGATTTTTCCGAAAATCTGTAAATAGCATCTTTGTTATTCAAGAAAGGTAATGCCCTAACAAATGATTATTGTTTACGTTTGTTCTATTTAATTGTGTTTCAAAATGGAATAAGTGGACATAGCTTGAGGCGACGTTGGTAGGGGCAGGTTACTAAGGTACATTATATTAAAGAAGGGACATAGTCATTTTGAAAATTTTAAGTCAGAAAAATTTTAGTCAAAGTTTTTATAAGAGCAAACTTTTATTAGTTTTACTATTTTTTTTCATGTATGTAACAGTAAAATTACATAATGCAATTATTTCCACCGTATACACCGGTATTGAGACATTCCATTTGGAATTATGAATAACCGAGCGTAGATGGTGAGTGATTGCTAGTGACAGGGAATGACCATCTATGATCTAAAAATTCACCAGGTTTATAATTTCTTCAGACACCACTCAGTAGACTGCGTTTTTAAGACGAGTTTATAACTTTTTGGCAAAATATTCATGACCAAAACTGCGTCTTACAACTGCATATGTACGGTATGGTATGGCACCAATAAGCCATGTTAAAAATAAAAATTTTAAACTTAAGTTTTTAGGTTTGTAACAGAGATTTTAGAGCATTTCCTTTTATTGAAACAACTTGGAAAAGGTCTACGAGACATTGTTATCTAACCTCAATGCCTTGCAGTTTTCAGGGGAAGATTTTGAAAATTTCATTTACATAATGGAATTCCTTGTTACCAAGATATGAAATGAACTGGAACTATTTAAACAACTGTGCTTAAACTTTATAACAGGAACAACCCAAGCAGCTTTCATCAAATCTGACTTAATTGATGTTTTGGAACAAATGACAGACAAACAACCAATGTGAGTAAAAAGTACAAACTTAACAAACCTATAACTTATTCCAATCAGTGTAATTTCCCTCCAGACTACCATTTAAAAATATCTGTGAAATCTTTTTTCGAGTATAACATAATACATTACATGTAGCACATTACTTAAAAAAAATTACATAGATCTGTTAAAAATATTGCTTGATTATAACAAGATAATTGTAACACTTGCTACATAAATACATTAGCAAATACAATAATGTTAATGAATATAAAAGTGTTTACAGTATGAAGATAGCAGATTTCATAATGCACGCAGACGAGCCAGCAGTTTTTCTGCCTCAGATTCATCTGTTTCTTGTTGACTACTTCTACGTGCAGTATTATCACCTGATGGTCGTAATGGAGAGTCGGACAATGTGTCATCAAATGATATTTCTCTAGTCACTGTGTTCTCTAAATTTGAGATATTTGTTCTAGATCTTGATCGGGAAAGCTGAGCCCTCCGTTCAGCTGAAAACAGACAGTAATCATTTCAAAATTAATCAACCTTTTACCATATTTTATATGTTTAGATGAAGAAATCTTAAAGTTATGACATTTATAGATAAATAAACTGTTTACAAATTAAACAGAGGAAAAAAATCAAACAAAACATTTCAGTCATATATAAAATTAAAAGCATACTGGTTTGGGAGATAAACTCAGCCGAAAATCAGTGTTTTGGGGGCATATTTCATTTATTTGTTTACGTATTCTGATGAATCTTGCACCATAATAAACTTCAGCTCTTCGATTTTCCGGTATCACCGTAAAAGTTATATTTAGAAACATAACGGGTATTTTGAGAGGCCCTGGAAGAGGTACGTAAAAAGGATATTTTAAATGCGTGCGAATAGATAATTCCGGCTCTTTGTTTTCCTTCTTAAATGAGTAAGTTAAACGTAAAATAACATGTTTAGACATTTTATTATTTCTTTGCTGTTCATTTATGATTTTATGTCAAATAAAAAATATTTGTTACCAAAATTGTTGAGCATTACGTACGTTAGTATAATGAATATCTATGATAACACGATATTTATATGCAACGTGCTATGTAACATATAAATCATTTTTACGTAAAAACACAGGCATTATCATTTATTAACGAAATATGTAGTTAAAGAATTAGTGATTCAAATTTATTTTTGCTTAGCTTAACAGAGTGAAGAAGAAATTTATTTAGTGGTGTTCAGCCTACACATTAACATATAAAAGGAGCATTTAACATCAGTCTTTCAATCCATTCCACTTAAAAAGATTACAATTGTGTAATCAGCCTTTTTTCTGAGTTAGCAAGACAAAAGCGAGTCTGAATTTCATCTACAAAATGTATACGTAAACGTCTAGTCGGTCAATATATAAAAGTACCCCTGTGCGGGCCTCAAAATGAGCATCTGCTGCACATGCGCACAACAATGGAATTCCCGTACTTTTTATAGGCATGTTTTGTAAACAAACAGGTAAAAGTCTGTGTTATTTTAAATATCTTACCAAACTTGACAAAATTTCCAGATATTGCCGAATTCCAGCAATAGTATGAGATGGTGAGCTTGATTAGATTAAAAATTCTGATAACTCGATTTAATTACAAAAAGCCGAGTTTATCAACCAGCCGAAGTTATCTCCCCAACCAGTAGAGAAAATTGCATTAAACATTCTGCTTTTGAAACAACAAAAATTTTAGTCAATTAAAATCCAAGAGAATATTATCATAAAGCAATTATTACAGTTTTTATAGTAATTTCAAACAAGCCTATGATAGAATAAATCATTCTGTCAGTACTAAACTACTATTGAGCATTTTACACATAATTATTATCATTTTATCTGAAGAATAGTTCAACCATAATAAACTCAGCAAAACTCCACAACTTAGAATATATATCACTTCAGATGTGTTTATGGTTGCTTTGTAGGAACACTTTTTTCAAGTTTAATTTGTTTTCATTTGTATTAGATCTTTTATTTTCTGTTTTTCATCTAAATTTGGAATTGAAATCCATGTATCATATTAATTTTTTGTTAACACTTCGTTATAAAAAAAACGATGCTCAATTTAAGATGTTTCACTTTTTGAGCATTTTTGTGCATTTAAATTTGTGATAATGAATATCTTCTAATGTCACACAATACCTTTATATTGTGTGAAAATATTAGCCTGCCCATTTTGAATATGTTATATATCTGGTGGATGATCATAGTTACAATTTTTAGACTGGGAGATCCTTCTAACATGGCTCTTGCCTCTTTTTTTCCTATTGTTCCTTTAAATCATAGTTTCTTTGACAAAGTGCATCAATGCACTGTCACTGCAAAACATGTAGAGATTTTAATTATTGCTGGACAATCAGACGGTAATTATTTTATTTATTTTATGAATTATTTTAAATTAGAAAAGGTGGGTTCAACCTAATAATTAACCATTTGTGTGTGAATACAGCGTTCAACCTAATAATTAACCATTTGTGTATGAACACTGGGTTCAACCTAATAAATAACCATTTGTGTGGGAACACAGCGTTCAACCTAAAAATTAACCATTGGTGTTTGAACACTGGGGTCAACCTAATAATTAACCACTTGTGTGTGAACACAGCGTTCAACCTAATAATTAACCATTTGTGTGTGAACACAGCGTTCAACCTAATAATCAACCATTTGTGTGTGAACACAGCATTCAACCTAATAATTAACCATTTGTGTGTGAACACAGCGGTCAACCTAATAATTAACCAATTGTGTGTGAACCTAATACCATTTGTGTGTAAAAAAAGGGGCCAATCAAATTAATATGAGCAAACTTGATGAAAGACTACCTAAAAATGGTACCACAAAGTTTGGTGATCATCCATCAATTAGTTCTGTAGGAGAAGGTGTTTAAAGGTTTTTCTATTTTTAGCCCCTAGAGATCCCTAAAAGGGGCCAATCAAATTAATATGAGCACACTTGATAAAAGACTACCTAAGAATGCTACAGACAAAGTTTGGTGATCATCCACCAATTAGTGCTGTAGAAGAAGACATTTAAAGGTATTTCTATTTTTAGCTTTAGCGGCCCCTACAAGGGGCCAATGAAATTAATATGAGCAAACTTGATAAAAGACTACCCAAGAATGGTACAGACAAAGTTTGGTGATCATCCATCTTTTAGTTCTGTAGTAGAAGATGTTTAAAGGTTTTTCTATTTTTAGCTCTGTTGACCCCTAAAAGGGGCCAATTGAAACGACATGAGCAAATTTAAGTGTGACTGTCACAAGGATGCTACAGACCAAATTTTAGGTAAATCTGCCCAGCAGTTTCAGAGAAGAAGACGATTGTTGACGCATGACGACGGACGACGGAGTATCCCCCTTTGATACTAATAGCTCACCCATGAGCCTTCGGCTCTGGTGAGCTAATAAATCTATTGATTTATTTTATAATCTACATAAAATACTAAGTAATATGACAATGTTACTTTATTTCGTGAGTTGTACAGTTCTGACAGTTTCCACATAATGACTTGGCAAATTCATGCATAAGTAAATCATACTTGAAATAAAAGTTTTATATAGAATAAATTATTCTTTCTGTTCTAAAAAACTAAAAGAAACCATGGAAAGTATTCTAACATTCAACAAAATTAAAATGTTGGCATGCAATTAGAAACCTTGCTGAGAGTATATAACAACAACAACAACATATTACAACAATTACAGCCCAAATAGCTACTATAAAATAACAACACAACTGATGACAGTGAGGAAAAATCTATAAGTAAACAATACAACAACCAGAAAACCATTACAAATTGAATTAATAATCATGACTGCTTTGTCATAAGTGTTCTTTATAAGTGTTCTTTCGTCCAAGAATAAATAAATCCATAAACAAGGCAGTCTGAAGGACAGCTAAATCCCCTTCCGCAGTGAACATGAATGTGTACTTCTTGACCTTTTACCAGCCACGGCCTTGATGTTATGCCATGCATATCATAAGCACATAGTCTCATGATGGTGATTATTTGTGACATGTTATTTTAAATCTTACATAAAGTAAAAAAAGTTATGGAGAACATATAACCTTGACCTTGGATATAACCTTGACCTTGGGGGTAGCGACCTGGATGTTGAACTCTGCAGAATGTGTCATGGTGATCATTTGTGCCAAGTTATTTTAAAACCTTTGAATTGTCAATAAGTTATAGAGCGGACATGAAAAATAGATGTTGTTTTACATTGGACCTTTGAGTGTGACCCTGACCTTCTTGGTTGTGACTTGATTTTTGTGCTCTGCCAATGGTGTCATAATGGTGATAATTTCTGCCAAGTTATCTTTAAAAAATTGCAGCGGTTTAAATGTTATGGACAGACACGAAATGTAGACTTTCTAACATTTGATCTGCAACTGTGACCTTCACCTTGAATGTAGCAATTCAATTTATGATTGTGCTCTGCACATCGTCTCATAATTGTGATCACTTGTGCCAAGTTATTTAAAAAAACAACTTTTCAGCGGTTTTAAAGTAATGGAGCGGACACGAATTGTACACCTTTTAACACTTGACCTTGGGGATAGCAACACAATTATTGTGTTCTGCACATTGTCTCATAATAGTGATCACTTGTGCCAAGCTATTTAAAAAAACATAGGTTTAAAAGTCATGGAGGGGATACGAAATGTACTGCACATGTTCTTATAATGGTGATCAATTGTGCCAAGTTATTTTTTAAAAAAACTTCAGCGGTTAAAAAGTTATGGAGTAGACTTTTTAACATTATTCCTTTAAGTGTAACCTTGACTTTTGGGTAGCAAGCCAATTATTGCCCTCTGCACATTGTCTTATAATGATGATCAGTTGTGACAAGTTATTTTAAAAAATTTTCAGTGATTAAAAAGTTATGAAGCGGTCACGAAATATAGACTATTAATATGAAAAGAAGACTTTTTAACATTTAACCTTTAAGTGACCTTGACCTTGGGGGTGGCAACCCAATTACAGTATTGGGCTCTGCACATTGTTCTCCAAGTCACACAAGTACCTCTGGGTTTGTACGGACAGAAAAAAAAGACGGGGGCCCATTCCTAAAAATTTCCCCTTTTTTCCCTAGGGCAAAAGGGGGAAATTTAATCAATAGTTATGCATTAAAAGAAAATTTAAAGAAATTAATCCTTGGGGGTTTAAAGGGTAAATTAAAGCAAAGGGCTAAAGGTCCCAAAGGGTTTTATCAACCAATTCAACATAAGTGTTTTATCATGAGGGTTCTCTTTATAAGTCAAGGTCATATATGAATTACTTAGTATGTCAGTTTTATTATAAGTCTTCTTTTGTCCATGCATAATAAATATGATGTTTTGTAAAACTTATCGGAAGTTGTATGCAAAGTTGCTTAGAAACTATTTTGGCATAAAAAGTTAAAGGGACCTTGATATTTGAGCCCTTGACCCTAAAAACTGCCCAAGTCAGTGACCTTGTCCCTGTAACTGTTT